AAACACTGTGACGCTAAATCGATGCTAATTAGCGTCGAATTAGCGTCGAAATATTAGCGTCGATTTAGCGTCGTAATTAGTTGCGACGCAAAATTAGCGTCGATTTAGCGTCGAAAGTTAATTAGCGTCGAGGGTTTAGCGTCGAAATCATTTTCGACGATAATTCGACGCTAAGAGCTTTTAGCGTCGATTTAGCGTCGTAATTAGTTGCGACGCAAAATTAGCGTCGATTTAGCGTCGAAAGTTAATTAGCGTCGAGGGTTTGATTTCGACGCTAAGAGCTTTTAGCGTCGAATTAGCGTCGAATTACGCTGACGCTAAATGTCTGTTTTCTTGTAGTGTCCCTAGGCCTAGGATCCCCAATATATTTGAAAACTAATGTTTTACAGCTCTAAAAGGTTTAAAAACAAATTTAAAACCCCAACTTCACTCTACGTGCTTCCTTAAAAAAACATGTAGATAGAATAAAAAGAAATATTAGAAAACCCATACCAAAACTTAATATGGAATCAAAAAAACAACATCCATTCAAAACCACACAGCACCTCAAAGCTCAAACCATTGCAATAACCACCTATTACTCCGTTAAAATGTCAATCATTTAAACAAAGATTATTGTACTTTTACAAAACAGTTAGAAATTTTACAAAATAGATAGAAATAAAATTCAAAAATTGGTATGCTTACGAGGATATGCTTCTATTTGCTTTACGTTTTAATTTGATTTTACGTCATTAGCCTACTTTATAATCTTTCAATATGTGTGAAACTTCTTACTTTTACTCATGAGAACCATTGAAGCAGAAAAAAACTTTATTTTTTTGGGTCAAACAGCTGAAAAATTTTTCCTCTTTGGACATGTTCAAAGATTACATTCACATTCAGAAAAAAAACAAATTAATAAAATAACATAAAGACATTAGAGGAGGAAGACTACAAAAGAAAACATACGTATCAAAGAAGAATAAGGCATACAAAACATATCTGCTGCCAATGAGTATGTTGAATGCATGTATCTAATCACTCATTTATAATATGAAGAAAAATTGTCTCAATATACATTTATCTAGACCTTCATAACCAATGACCATTACTCCAAATCCAAACATTCTAAAAAATAATGGGATTAGTAATATTTGGTCAAAATGTGTCTTACATTATAAGTTATAACACATCAAAAAAAGATAAAGAAACAATGTCAGTCTCAATAAAACCCGCACCTTCCTCAAATTTTTATACTGGCTATATTCAATTAAATTTCATATACGTAGACCCGATTCTTATTCAAATTCGGCCTTTTTATTTTGGAATATAGGTGCCAAAGT